TTCCCCTCCCGGAGGAAAGCGGCGCAGCTGCCCTGGGAGGACGGCAGGTGAGCGGCGGCGGCCCGGCGCCCTGTCCTCTGGGTGCCGATCTTTACCGACCGCGGGGCGGAATCTAGGAGCCCGAGGCCGTCGCGACTCCTCTCTGCGGGGCTCTCTGAGGGTCTGTGGTTCTCATCGTGGGTCACTGGGTCTCGGGAGTGCGTGTCTGTCTCCGTGTGGGTCTCTGTGTCCTCCAGTCTCTGTCACTCTGCAGGGCTCCGTCACCCGTGGGTCTGTTTCTCCGCTGACTTCCCTTTGTGAGTTCCCGGTTCTCTCTTTGCAAGTCGTGTTCTCTTAGGAGTTTCTCCTCTGGCCCCTACCTATCTGAGTGCTGGTCAGTGACTCCGTTGACCTCTCTGAATGGATCTCTGTCTTTCTGTCCCTGGTCTAGGAGTCTGTGTTCCATTTCTCTGTTTCCACCTCCCCATCACCTCCATGTAGCGGAGACCCTCCCTCCTTCGCGCTTCCCCTTCCTTTCTGGGCCACCCAAGGGAACGCGCCGAACAGCAGCTCTGCCCCGCTGCCCGGCTAGTGGGCCTCCTCCCTCAGCGCTGGTTCACCCCCTGCAGCCGCACTTGCACGGAGCCTGCCCCGGGTTAGGTATGGCCTGGCCCAGGGCTTAGCTACTGTTTACCACTAAAGCAGGATCGGACCCTGACCAGTTTGGCCCAGTGGATAGAGCATCGGCCTGCGGACTGAAGGGTCCCGGGTTCGATTCCAGTCAAGGGCATGTACCTTGGTTGTGGGCACATCCCCGGTAGGGGGTGTGCAGGAGGCAGCTGATTGATGTTTCTGACTCTATCCCTCTCCCTTCCGCTCTGTGAAGAATCAATAAAATGTATTTTTTTAAAAAGCAGAATCGGGGAGGTGGAGCTTTTTAGTAGTCTACATTTGGGAGGACACTTCAATCTTGAGATGTGCCCCCAAAACTCTTCTCACCTAGAACACATAGTGAGTCTTTACCCAGCGAAGGACACCTCGTTCCCTTTAGATCTCTTAACTTGGCCACATGTGCCAAATGGTTCTGGGATATAGTGGGTACAACTCTTTATCCTTGGGGATTTTTCAGAGTTGGTGTTGAAGTAAGAAGACAGGACTATAATAGAAAGAAAGCCAGAACTGTGCAGTCAGCCCTGGGCAGAAATCCTCTTTAATCGCCATGTGACCAGAAACATATCACTTAATCTTTCCGACTTCAGCTTTTCCATCTTAGAAACTGGGAAGAGAGCTATATGAGGACTGAAGGAGACAAACGTAAAATCCTTGATACTGTGCCTGGCACAGAGGAGGTATCTTCCACTTACCCTTGCCATTTGGAGGTGCTGTTGTCAGAGCATTTGAGTATTCAAAGCTTGTATCACTACGATTTGTGTGAGAGAAGAAAGGAAAGGTAGTGGAGGAAAATTTTCATTTCCTGATCCCTTTTCATAAACCTTTGGACAAACACCGTGTTCTCAGAAAAAGTTACTGATGTCTCTTCTCGCTTTTGACACAGGGGTACAAAGGTCCATGCAACAGATGCAGGCTAATGTAGCAATGAAGAGTGCTGGCTGCAGAGCCAGCCTGCCTCGGTTTGAAACTTCTCTTTCCTAGTCTTGGGCACAGACTGAAGAAGGAGAAAAAACCTCATCTGGTTTGCCCCTCAGAGCAGGGTGGCCCGGGCCTGGGAGCCGATGGGACTACAGATCTGAAGTTTGCCATCATGTGGCATCAGGGAAACTTCTCAGTGTTGTCCACTGTCCCAAGGAATTGGGATTCGGCTCTGAATTAAGTTGTTCAGCAGTTTAGACTTTTAACAGCTCTGGATGAGAGTACCCAATGGGGATGTGATGCTGGTAGGAAGGAAGGGAAAGTTAGACGAAGGAAACAGTATGTGAAAGTGCATGGAATGCCCAATTCGTGCCATACCCTGGGTAATGGTCATTGCTTCTTCCCCTGAAGGTGGGATAGTTCCCCATGTCCACCTCCCTGGTCTCCACCCCACCCCCAGAAAGAGCTCAGAGGGAGAATCAGTAGAGACTCCAGCCTTCCCAGGCCACTGGCAGGATTGGGTTCTGCTCCCCATCGGAAACCCCCACCACAGGACAATGGGGGGTAAGTCAGAAGCCCCCTGTGAGGGTGTCCTACCCAGCCATCTCTCTGCTGTGTGTGGGACCTGGCTTCAGGACTGCTGGCTTTCTGGTTGGCAATTGTGCCACTATAGAGAGGCAGGACTTGGTGTGGCTTTAACTGCCTAACTTAAAGCATGCCCTGGCTGCTTGAACCCTTCCTGTAGCTCACTTCTCATGCCCTCTGCTGTGTGTCTGATGCTGCAGCCACAGACAGGAGCCTGATTATTTATGGGGAAGACAAGCAGGGACTTGGGGGATTACAAACCTCTAAGTACTCCAAAGGGTGAAGTACCAGATGCCATGGAAGCACAGAAGGTGCACGTATCTCAGTTTGTATACGTGAGAAGATGAGCAGTGCTGGCCATGACATTGGAGTTTGGCCCTGAAGGATCAGTGAGGGGCTTTCAGACAGATAAAATAGGAAGGGCATTTCAGGCAGAAGCATCAGGCTGTGTGAGGGCTGGAGCAGGAAGGAATATGGTGAGCAGAGGAGCTCAGAGTGGGCCAAATTATAGCATTAGATGAGTGGTAAGGGGCAACGAGATGGGGCCAGGTCACAGGGGTTTGACTGTCAGACCAAGGAATTTGGTCTTTTTCTTGTAAACAGAAGAGGATCATCCATGAGATTGAAGAGGTCTGAGCTAGGCAAGGACCAATGAGACCCGAGCACAGAAGAAAGGCAGTAGGTGAGGAAGGGTCAAGGGACACTTAGGAAGTAGAATCTATAAGCCTGGTAGCTACTTGGTGACTCATAGAGGTTATAGACAGGTTGCTTTGCTGATTACTTCATGGGGAGTCCTGCAGAGGAAGCCTCCCTTTTCTTGGATTCCCCAGCTCCTCCTTCACTACCCCCAGGAACTGAGAGAGAGAGAGAGAGAGAGAGAGAGAGAGAGAGGGAGGCAAAAGAATCAGGTGAATTACACTTGTTTTTTGTACTTTCTAACCTAAAGGCCAGTTTCTCTCAGCACTACCGCAGTGTTTAAAGATACCAGCTGTCTTCCCAGTTTCTGAAATGAGCCCGGGTGCTAGCCCAAGCCCCAATCTTTCTTTCCCTACTCCATCTCTCAGCTCTTGTCGCATGGGCTGCCTGTTAGACTGAAGCTTTGAGACTTGTTCAGTGAACTGCCACTGTCAGTTTGGGCCTTGCATTGGTTTGGGGGCAGGCCTGATCTTCCAAAAATAACATTGGGGTTTTTCACTGGGGATTGATGCCAGCACAGACCCAGATCTTGGGGAGCTTTCTGGTGTGAGAAGCAGGATGAAGCCAACGTTTCAGCAGGTGGTGAACATGCAGGGTGTGGAAGGCAGTGGGTGAGATCTCTAAGTCCAGGCTCCTGCCATCAGCTCAGGACGGGAACCCCTGTCCTGGAGAGGGGCAAGTGCAAGATACAAGGAGCCTCATCCCAGCCTTCATGGTCTGGCCAGGGCTCATTCACAGAAAATAAGAAAGCATCAAGGAATGGGCAGCTCTGCGACCCAGGAGTGGTCGGAGGGCTTTCTGGAGGTGGGGGCATGGGCTGTATTCTGACATGGTAGCAGCATGCACAAAAGCATTAAAGTTGCTTCTGCACTAATTCACAGGTGCTTAGGCAGACCAGCCCTACTTGTGGGGAAGCCAGAGAAGGGGTCTGTGACAGAGTCCGAGACCAGACCTGCCCTTCTGACCATCCCTGCTCTTGTCCCAGGTCCAGGCTGCTTCCCAGCAGCCTTCCCCGGAAATGCTCCGTCTTCCACCTCTTCGTTGCCTGTCTCTTACTGGGCTTCCTCTCCCTGCTCTGGCTGCAGCTCAGCTGCTCCGGTGACATGGCCTGGGCAGCCAAGGGACAAGGCCAGGAGACCCCAGGTCCACCCCGGGCCTGTCCCCCAGAGCCGCCCCCTGAGCACTGGGAAGAAGATCCATCATGGGGCCCCCACCGCCTGGCAGTGCTGGTGCCCTTCCGAGAACGCTTTGAGGAGCTCCTGGTCTTTGTGCCCCACATGCATCGCTTCCTGATCAGGAAGAAGATCCCACACCACATCTACGTGCTCAACCAGGTGGATCATTTCAGGTAGGAACTACCTGACCCTGCTCCCCCTCTCCAGGGGCCTCACCTTGTCCAGGCCTTTCAGGGCCTGCTTCCTTTCCTGGCAGCAGCCCGATGCTGGTGGGCCTCAGACCTGTGAAGGGCACCTGGGTCAGTGGCAGGAGGGAGGGAGGTGGGACCCTTCTCACTGGGGGTGACAGAAATCTTTGGGGAAAGTTTGGGGCTGGGGAAGGCCCTGATCTGATTTCCATTTTAAAATGGGGGTGCTGTACTTGGAGTAGATTATACCAGACAAGAGGAGGAGCAGGGAGAGCTGTGGGTGGTCACTGCAGTTGTCTGAGATGATGGCGACTTGGTCAGCATGTAGAAGGAATGGAGGAAGCACAGACAGGGCTTGCAAGGGAATTGGTGGTAAGGATTAGGCGAAGGGAGTGTCAATACAATGGCTTTAAAGTTGTTCACAGTCTGGCATTATCCTGAACTCTTTGCACTTACCAAAATCTTTTCTCCATAATCACAATCGAAGCATCTCACACTCCACCCCACCTTTCCTTCCAATTCCCTCCCTCTGGAAACTCCCAACAGTTCCTGGACCCCACCAGGCCCTGTAGTCCAGGATGCTCCCAACTAACTAACTTCCTTCCTTCCTTCCTTCCTTCCTTCCTTCCTTCCTTCCTTCCTTCCTTTTTAACTTTATTTGGGGTGACATTAGTCTACATGAACATATAGGTTACATGTTTGGATTACTAATTTACAAAATATGTATATAGGACCATGTGCCCACCACCCCCAATTTTCTTTTTTTATTTTGAGAATACCTTTATTAAAGCAGGGGACAGTGAAACAAAGGAAGGGCTTAGGGTAGAGGAAACAACAGGAGAGAGAGAGAGAGTGCCAACGAAGTGCTCTGCTTTGGCTCTCTAGAACCGTTACAGGAAAGAAGTGGGCCACTCTGGGCTGCGTGAATTCACTGAGAGGTAAAGTCACAGTGAAAGTCCTGGCCAGTTTTTCTCAGTGGTTAGAGTGTCGGCCTGCAGACCAAAGGGTCTTGGGTTCGACGCAAGGTCAGGGGCACGTACCACAATTGCAGGTTCAATCCCTGGTCCCAGTCGGAGCACAGATAGGAGGCAACCAATCAATGTCTCTCTCTCCCCTTCCACTCTCTCTAGGAATCAATGGAAAAAATATCCTCTGGTGAGGATTAACAGCAAAAAATTTACAGTGAAAGAAGTGGGCCAAGGCAGGGCTGTTTTTAGCTCGATGAAGTCTAGGACAGGAGAAGCAACAGGAGATAGCCTTGGTGGTGATCTGCTTGGCTCTCTAGAAACATTATAGGAAAGAAGTGAGCCAAGGCAAGGTTGGTTATCTCACTGAAAAGTCAGAGAAAAGGGGGCCTTGGAGACAGTTCAGGGTGTAAGCCAGGGATGAGCTGCCGCTGCCATTGCTCCTCTGGTTGCAAGTCTCATGGGATTCTTAGAGTTTAGGAGAGAAAAGTAAAGATGCACACCTGAGAGGGAAGAAAGGTGAGTGTGCTCCAGAGGCAGCCTGCCGATGCTCCCAATTTTCACTGTCCACTCTCCTTGTCCTCACTTTCTCCTGACCTAACTTGGATTCCATGGCTCATTGTTAAAATCACTCCCCTGCACATATCTCAGTTCCCTTGCCCCTTTCTGCCTGGCACAACTTCTGCCTGGTGAAACCTGACTGTTTCATTCACACCTGCTCCTGGGCAGCTGATGTGACTGGAGACTTTGAGCCCTGGCCCAGGAAGCTCCTCAGCCCTGCCTGAAAGCCTCGAATTCCTCTAGTCTTCTGCCTTTCCCCCCTCCTCACCCATCCTCCCCCAACTTTGCTTTCTTTTTGAGAAAACAGAACCAACTGGAAGCAAACTTGTGCAAGTCCCCAACCCCTGGCCCTGTGGACCAGCTTCTGTGCACGGTTGCTTTTGATGCCTTGTCCCAGCTCTACTGGGGCCAGCTCTTCCACTGGCACTAGCTCCCTTTCTCGTCTCCTACTCAAGGACATCACTCCAGCTGTGGGCCCTTTTCTGTCCTACACGATCAAGTTTTTCTTCCTTTCTGGGTCATTTGCATCAGCATACAAAATTGCACATCTCCCACAGCTATCACCTCATTTCTCTGCTCCCCTTTATAGCAAAACTCCTCCCATTTATCCCCTCATTGCTAAAACAGCTTTCACTGACATCACTAATGAACCTTGTTAATCATCCTTCATCCTGTAGACTTCTCGGCAGCATTTGCCAAATGGATTACTTCTTCCTTCCTCAAACACCTCTGTCTGACTTCCGGGGCAGCCCTCTCTGAGTCTCCTCCTTTCTCACTGGCTGTCCTCCCCTCCTTTCCAGGTTCTGCCTCAGCTCCCTGGTCTCGGTCTCAGTGCTCCTGAGTGTCTCCTTGCTGGCTACAGTCACTCCCTGGGGGATCTCATCCAGGTTCAGAGCATTAGGTCCCATCTCTACTCTGGCGATTCCAGAGGCTGTACTCCCAGCCTAGACTTCTCTCCTGAACTCCAGACCTGCACATCCATCTACTTGCGCAGCTCTCCATTTGCTGGTCTCAGAAGCACCTCAAGCTTAACTTGATCAAAGCTGAATTCCTGATTTCCCACCTGCCCAAGACCAGCTTCCCCTGCCTCCTCCCCCACCAGGAAATGCCAACTCCGTGCTTCCAGTTACTCAACCCAAAAAGCCTTGGAATCGTTCTCCACTTTTCTTTCTGCCTCACATGAGACATCCAGTTCGTCAGCAGAATCCATCTAGAATCTGCCCACTTCTCACTGTCTTCACTGCCACCTCCCTGAGCTAAATCACCATCATCTTTTGCCTAAATTATTGTAATGGCCTCTCAACTCACCTCTATGCGTCCACCTCGGTCCTCCAGTCTCTTCTCAACACCCCAACTAGAGTGATCCTGTTGCACTCTAAGTCACCGTGTGTCATGCCTCTGCTCTAAGCCCTCCAGTGGCTCCCCATCTCTTCATGGCCAAAGCCTAAGCCCATCAGGGGCCCGTCACCTTCTGACCTCATCCTCTATGCCCCACTCACTCACTGCCTGGCCACATTGGTGCCTAGGCCTTGGTAGGCACTCACTCCTCTGCCCAGAGCCCCCTCCCCCTGATTTCCATAGGGCTCATTCCCTCCAGCCTTCAGGTTTCTACTCACCCTTCACGCTGTTACCCTGACCACCTGTCTAAAAGAACAGCTGCCTCACGCTTTGACCTCCTGCTTTACTTTTCTCCACAGCACTCTCTGGCTTTTTAAGTATTTATTTGTTTATTTTTGTCTCCTGTTATTCAAATATCAACTCCTTGAGGGCAGGGCTTTGATTTCTCACTGTTAAATCCTATTCTCTCAACAGTTTCTGGCACATAGTAGGTGCTCAGTAAACATTTGGGCGATGAATGGAGGAGCAGACGTGAAGCTGGATAGCTCCACAGTGAAATCAGTGTCGGCCTGGAGGGCAGCATAGGCCCCAGGGTGGGTGGTGTAGAGGACGGGCTCTCCTGCAGAGTCTGGGGGAGAGCCAGCTCGCTGCCCGTACCCTGCCCAGCCTTGGCCGTTCTGTACAGGTTCAACCGGGCAGCACTCATCAATGTGGGCTTCCTGGAGAGCAGCAACAGCACAGACTACATCGCCATGCACGACGTGGACCTGCTCCCTCTCAACGAGGAGCTGGACTATGGCTTCCCTGAGGCAGGGCCCTTCCACGTGGCCTCCCCAGAGCTCCACCCGCTCTACCACTACAAGACTTATGTCGGCGGCATCCTGCTGCTCTCCAAGCAGCACTACCAGCTGGTGAGGCCCAGCCAGCCTGTTCTGAGCCAGGGAGCTCCCACTGGGTGGGGGCACTGACAGGAGGAGGGCAGTTCTGGGGCCCAGCAGGGAACCCAGGACAGAAGAGAGGAGCAGGAGCAAGCAGGTTGGTTAGGGAGGATTCAGGCTCAGCACAGAAAGCCCGTGAAAGTTGGCTTCATAAAAGTTGGGTTCATTGGGTCTTAAAATGGATAAGTCTGGTTGGGGCTGAGAGGAGGGTGTTGCTTCCTGTGTGGCTTGCCCAGCCTCTCAGACAGTGTCACTAGGGCACCATTTCTCTCTCCTCATTTCTCTCATTTCTGCCTTCTTTAGGCAGGATTTCTTTCCAGATACTCAGGGTGAGGGGTGGTGGTTGTAGTTGCAGTCTGTATCTGTCTAGGCCCAAGTCCACTGGAAGAGGGAGCTCCCTCTCCAACAGCCAGACAGGAGTTCCCGAGCCATACTGCACAGGCTCTTGATTGGCCTGACTTGTGTCCTGGGCCCATTCCTGAGTTAGTCACTGTGGTGGTGAGGGGGTGGGGGAGGAGAAGAACTGAGTAGTTTAGACCTGAGTCTCCTGCTCCTCACAAGACTAAAGCCAGCTTTATGTAAATGAAGTCCCTAATCTGGTAGCGAAAATTGGTATCTGCCATAGAGCCCAACTGTTCCTCTCCCACACAGAGGAAGAAGCCAGGACTGAGCCCAGAAGAAATGGGGAGGGGCAAGCAGGAATTGGTACTTCTGCCCTTTACCAGCCACCCAGAGAGGTGCCCTCCTGCCAGTCAGATATTTTGGGGAAACAAATCATCTCACACAAGTTCCAGGCACAGAGACTGGGATGTGCTGACTGTCCCCCCAATACTGCAGAGGTTGTGGGAACTGTGAGCATTGGTGTCCGCTCCAAACTTCCAGGGGAGGAGGAAAGGAGGCTGGGTACTTCTGAGAGGTAAGAGACCAAAGAGCACACTGGGCGGATGAGGCAAGTGATGCTGTCTGTCTCTGTGTTAGTGCAACGGGATGTCCAACCGCTTCTGGGGCTGGGGCCGTGAGGACGATGAATTCTACCGGCGCATCAAAGGAGCTGGGCTCCAGGTAACACCCCAGGTCCCCTACCACCACCTCAGCCATCGTGGCCGCCCTGAGGCTCCCTTCTCTGCCCTCAGCTTGGAGATCCTCAGCTGGTTCTGATCCTAGTCCTGCCCCCAACTTAGCACACCTCTTCTGCATAATGGGAATACAGGCCCTTGCCTGTGGCCTGTGGCAGGCAGTGGGACCCCAGAGGACTAGTGGCGAGGGCCAGGGCTCCAGGAGGGGCAGCCTAACCTAACTTCCTTTGGCCTCCTTAGCTATTCCGCCCCTCGGGAATCAAAACTGGATACAAGACATTTCGCCACCTGCATGACCCAGCCTGGCGGAAGAGGGACCAGAAACGCATTGCAGCTCAAAAACAGGTGCTGACTGGTTCCCTGATCAGGCATGGATAGGCGATGACATGGGGGAGCCAGCAGGCTCAAGCATTTCACCAAGTTCTACTTGGGTTCAAATGGCCCTATCCACTCCTTTTTGGCCCAGCTCAGTCGATGGCATTTTGTTTGGGTACCCTTCCCTGGTTGGTGGTTGCTATGGGACCTGGGACCTGGATCAGATGACCCCCACGCAGGCTGGGTGGAGGGGACTCAGCTGAAGGTGCCAGAATCCCAGGCAGACCTGCAACCCAAGAGTTTCCATCCCTCAAACGGCTCTTCTCTAAGAGCCATACTAGTCAACTGAAAACCCCTGCTCTCCTGCTTACTGGGGCATACAGCTGTGGGCGAGCCTTCATGGCTGTGAGCATCACTCCTCTCTTCAGTGGGGTCACAGAACCTCTGATGATGAGGTCATCGGCATCAATATACAGCTGGCACCCACAAAGCCCTGAGTATATGCTCTCTCCCCTTTTCCTTCCCAGGAACAATTCAAGGTGGACCGGGAGGGAGGTCTGAACACTGTGAAGTACCGTGTGGATGCTCGCACAGCCCTGACTGTGGGTGGGGCCCCGTGCACTGTTCTCAACATCATGTTGGACTGTGACAAGGCTGCTACCCCCTGGTGCACATTTGGCTGAGTTGGCTGGACAGTAAGGAGGCTTGTACCTACAGGCCACACTGCTATTCAGGCCCTGGACAAAGCCTCAGGCCCTGGGCCCAGCTCCAGTAGGATGTGGAGTGGTCTGCAGGCTACGTGTTTGCAGCAGCCTGGCCCCCAGAGGCAGGCTTGAGCCAGGACAAGACACACAGGGCGCCTGGGATGCTGCTAGCAATAAACAGTGATGGAGAGAGGCTGGGATGTGGCTCCCAACCGGGACTCTCCGCCCTGCCTCTGCTTGCCCTGCTCTGCCCTCCTTTGCATGCTGAGACCTGCGGGCTTTGTTCCTTCCTCCAGGACCGCCTCATGCAGAGATATGGTTTAGAGGCCAGGCTGCTGATATGAGTGGCTAGGGCCATTGGGAGGCTTAAAGTGCAGAAACCAGAGAGCAAGCCCCACAGAAAGGGAACAACAGAGCAGCTGTAGCTGGTTGTCACCATGTAGGAATGTGGGCCTGTGTTGTCAGATCTTCGGATTTTTCAAAAGAAACTAGAAGTCTGGATTCTTAAGTGAAATTGGTTAATTATTAAATGATAGCAACTAATTGAAACTTTTAAAAAGTATGGCAGTCCAAACAAAATGTGTTGTGAACCACCAGTTTGTCACTGTGGCTGAAGGGAAGGGGATAGGACAAAAGATGACATCTCTCTTTGTAATAAGCTGGCAAGGAGTTGGGTTAGGGCTGGGGATGGCAAGACCAGGGGAAGCTCAGGTGGGAGAGAAGCCAAAGACACAAGGTTCCTGCTACCGCCCACAGCCCTCTAGGCCTTGTTGCCCTCGGGGCAGTGTGACCACCGCCAGGCTCTAGTGAGCTCTGACTCTGGGAAGGGGACTTCACCTGCCTCACTAAGATGGACCGATCCAGAGGACTGGACTCAGGGCAGGCAGGATGTGTCGGCAGTGGCTCAGTCATGGCTTGAGGGAGTGAGGGCCGTGTTTCTGACGCCAGAGGAAGATGAGAAGTGGGAGAATCCCTGGGGTGTTCCCACAGCACAAGCGATCACCCAATGCCAAGGAGAGGTGAAGGAGGGGAGCTTAGGAGACTATGGAATTGGGGAGTGATCTTGGAGGGAAGCCTGGGGCCAACGAGAGAGTGGGAGGCCACGGGCCCTGCAAAGTAGATCACTTCTTTAAGGCATTTGACTGCCAAAGATTGGCGGCAGAAGTCCGAGGAGACTGGGACAGTTAAGGCTAGTTTAACAAGTAGGACACCTGGAATGTTGGAGGAAGAGATTAAGGTCCTAGAGTTCAGGAGGGTGGATTCAATAGCTCTGCTCCAAAAAGACTCCTCCTCTGAGCTGCTGTGTGCAGTTGTGTGGGTTGTACACTGTACAACTTAAGCATAAGCCAAGAGACTTGAGCAAAGATGAGCAGAGTGAAGCTTCAGGCTCCATGTAACTGTTCACGTGTATAACAGAGGATCCTTGTGATCCTAAATTGGTCTTACCCAGTGATTCAGCCCCACAGTGAGGGGCACCCAGGCTGCAATTACAGTGCAAGGGTGGTGAGCAGGACTTACTCAACTTGAGGTCCAGGAGAGGGGAATAGTGTGTTTTCTGTATGCCAGTCTCCTGGGCAACCCTGGCTAAATCATCCTGGACTTAAGTAATGTGGAGGCAAAACTCCAACCTCTTGGAGCTGGTGGGAATGGATGTGGTATCATAGCCCTCAGCTCTGTACTCATCTGGCACATAGCAAGACCTCACAAAATGTGGGTGTTCCTTTATACCTGCACCAAGGATGTAGAATGAGCAGAAGAAAAACAGGATCAGCTCACTCAGCCTGGGCTGGGGCACAACTCCGACCTGGGGCCCCACACTCCGCTATGGCTGCTGCTGCCACCTCCAGGAGAGTGGGAGAGAGCTGAGCAATGGTTTGCAGGGGGAAGAAGCAGGCAGCTCTACTGCTTCCTCAGTGCCTTGGTTGCCTCCTCTGTGGAGTGGAGCTAACATCTCTGTCTCGCTGGCCAGATGTGGATGAAATGAATCCAGGATGAACTGGCACCTGCTGAGCATTCACCGAGTACAACATGCTAGGTCTTATTGATTAATCTGCCTTGTAGCTGAGGATGGTGAAGCACAGAGAGCTAAGTAGCTTGCCCAAGGTAAAAGAGTTGGCACCTAGTGGAACTTGGCCTTAGAGCAGATTCCTTCACTCCTGGCCTGCACAGCTGGTCCCATGCACAGATGTTCCTTATCCTCCAGACTGTTCCTCCTCTCTCTAGCTGGAGAGGGCCCATGGGGAGGGCTAGCCAACATGGTTTGATGTCCCTCCCACCTCTGAGAGGAAACCAGGGCCATGGGTGAGACACAAAGTGTCTGCCCCATGCTTCCTCTGCTGGATTAAGATGGGGATTTGGCTGCTGGGTAGGACCCTTGGAGCATCAGTGGGACCAAGAGCGTGGCACTGTGCCTGAGGAATGTACAAGGTGCTTGGGGAAGGTCTCCAGGAGGCGTGGGCTTGCTGGTGGAGTCAGTTTTCTGTTGGATGGGAAGAGTTCTGGAGGGATCAGCATGTGCAAGGTAGAGAGATGAAGAGAGCATGTTATGTTCAGGGATCTGGAAGGAGCTCTGGGTGTCCCTGG